TTCATCCCAACTTTGATGGGCAAATTTAATTACATTTCATGGCCTAAGCATAATTTTCTGTGGCTTGATGCTTGCTATCAACAGAATGTTTGTGTCTCCTCAACATTCAAAATGTTGAAATCCTAACCCCTAATGTGATGGTATTAGGAGATAGAGCCTTTGGTGGGTGATTAGGTTATGAGGGTGTAGCCCTCATTAATGGAATTAGTGCCCTTATAAAAGAGCTCCTTTATCTCTCTGTCCTGTGAGGACACAGGAAGATGACTGCTGTCCATGAACTAGGAAGTAGGCCCACACCAAATGCAGAATCTGCCTTGATCTTGGAATTTTCATCCTCTAGAACAGCGAGAGATAAAATTCTGTAGTTAATAAGCCACCTTGTCTATGGTAGTTTGTTGTGACAGTATGAATGGGCTAAGACAGGGAACCTCTGGGCAGCTTAGTCAGTCACTGGGTGGCCCTCAGTGGCTCCCACTGGTTTCTGCACCACTCTTGGTAAGTCTGGCCTTGGAATCATTTGTCCTTTCTCTCAAAGGGTAGCACATATTTGTAGCTCTATCAGTCTGTTTTTACCTATAGAATCCTAGAAATCATGTCTCACTTTTATTGTTTATGAGTTCTGGGTTTTATATTCTGCTCAGGAAGGCCTCCTCCACTATAAGGGTATACTTTACTCCATATTTTCTTCCAGTGTTTCATAATTTTAAAAAACTTTAATATATCAGTTTTTTGATTTAATGTCATTTTAAAAAGAGATGGGATCTTGATATGCAGCCCAGGTTGGTCTCTAATCCCTCAGCTCAGGCTATCCTCTTGCCTCAAGGGACTACAGATGCTCTTCTCTGTGCCTGGCTTAGTGCCATGTTGACAGAACTCTCTCTTTTCCCTCCCCTCCCCTCCCCTCCCTTTCCCTTCCCTTCCCTTCCCCTCCCTCTTTCTCTTACGTCTATATTTAACTATATATATATATATTTCCTTCTCCCTCCTCCAAATACTATTGTGAGCTCTCAGCCAATGGGGACTGTGTGTAGTATGACTGACTGTGTAAAATGGTTCTCAGGCAATACACATAAGTACAGTATCGCTTCAGTTAGGGAGCCCATTGCTTTAGCTACCCTAGGGGGAATATATTCTGCAATATGTATCATTTACTATGCAATGGACTCTCTTCTGTTTATTTTGTATTCTGGAGAGAACCTTCTCCCAAATGACTGATTTTGTGAAAAAAAAAGAATGTTGAATATGCTTCATATAGACAAGAAGACAGTGTTATCATGGGTGTTAGAGGCCTTTGATGAGTCTTTTGAAGAGGGACTTTCCAGGATACAATCAAGAAAGCATCAAGTGAAAGTGAAAGGCACCAAGAAGCTAGATATTGATAAGTGATAATTGACTCAAGAAGTCCATCATAAAATCACTATGACCTGCATTGATCAACAACTGTGTGAAGATAGCTAGAAAAAAAACTATGGCACGAGGCTCATGCCCACTTCAGAGAATCTGAATAGACTGCAAGAGTGGTTGCCAAGGAAGGATATCAGGAAAGTATCTCCACAGGGACTTTGTGATAGTGATTCTCTTATAGAGTTGATTCAGTTATGCACCTCTTTCCAGTAACAGAGCCACTCCATTAAATAGGTTATGTGTGTACTAAATTCCTGTAAGCTACACATGGGTCTGTTTCAGGAATCCAAAATTCTTCAATATTAATTTATGTGCCCATCCCTGCATTGATACATTTTAATTATTGTAGCTTTATAATATTTTAATATATTGCAATACAAAAAAAGATCTTGAATATTTTTGCTTATTGAGTTTCCGAGTTGAACTTTAAGAAAAGCTTCTCAAGTTCAATTTAAAAAAAAAAATCATGTTAGGATTTTGATTGGTTTTACACTGACTAGATAATTTGCAGAAACTGTCATGCTTGCAATATTGTTCTTCTTGTCCAGGTTCATAACATATTTATTTGGGTATTTTCTAGCAATTTTTTTATACAAGTGCCAAGTCTTGGAGTTCATTACTGGTCATTTTGTAGATGTTATTGCTTTAGGTTGTGGAAACATTTTTCAATTATATTTTAAAATTATATTTTATTGGTATTTAGGAAAGACAGTGATTTTTATCTCACACAGTCACTTCACTGATCTCTCTTATTCTGATAGTTTTTCTTTTGATTCTTTTTGTTGTTGTTGACAAGCATGACATCTGCAAAAAATGAGTTTTGCCTCTTTCTGGTTTTGATGACACCTTCATTTTTTTTTTTTTTTTTTTTGCCTTATTTCCATTGACTTTGAAATTTGATTTTAATGGGAATGTTTTCGGTGTTCCATCATGAAGTATGCCCTTAAGTAGGTCTCTAGTAGATTTTATCAGGTCAAGTCAGCTTTGTTTTATTTTACTGATAGTTTGTTCACAATATTGTCCAGATGATGTCATAAAGCCACTATACTATGTATGTTATATATAAATTCCTTTAAAAAATGTATCCAAACTTTTGTAACCTATCATACTATTAACTTATATTTGCTTTGGGCATGCTTGAAACTTAATTTTTGTATTAAATTGTGACAATGGAGTCATTTAAATTCCACTATATCTTTTTTTGATGATTTGAGTTTTGCCAAAATTTCCCTTTATGACTATAATTGTAGATTATCAATTTCTCCTTAAATTCTGTTTTGTAGCCGGGCTCGGTGGCTCAGCCTGTAATCCCGTGCCTTTGGGAGGCTGAGGTGAGTGGATTGCCTGAGCCCGCGGGTTCGAGACCCGCCTGGGCAGCGAGACCTCATCTCTACAACAAATCAAAAAAAATCAGCCGGGCGTGGTAGCGCATGCCTGTAATTCCGGCTACTCAGAAGGCTGAGGCGGAAGGATCACCGGAGCCCAGCAGGCGAGGCTGCGGTGGCCGGGAGCGGCCACTGCACTCCAGTCTGAGCGACAGAGTGAGACTCCACCTCAAAAAAAAAAAAAAATTCTGTTTTGTTTTTCTTTTTTATATTTCAGTGTTGAGTTGTTGGGTGCATAGATATTCATAATAGTTGTAACTTACTGGTGAGTTTAATCAGTAGAGTACATTCCATTTTTTGTTTTGACTACAAGTATCATAGCTAATTTCTCTATTACCATTTACTTGGTATATTTTGCCCATACTTTTATATCCAAATTTTTGTTTTAGATGATGTGTTTTTTTTTATAAATAGCATATTGTTATTTTAGCTACCTAATCTAATAATTATTTTTATAAAATTAACCCACTGACTTTAGTTGAAATATTATATATATGTGCTGTGTTTCTTTTCCATTTCCTGTTTTCAGCAGTATTTTAGTTTTCCTTACACCTTTTTTGTCTAGAAGTTTGAAAGTTATTTATCTCATTCTTTTCTTCTTTTGCTTGTGCCTGAATTTTAGAAAATATATTTAAACACAGGTTTTTCTACCATGTTAATAATTGTTGATAACATCCATCCCAAACTAGATAAGATCCTTAGTATATTTACCCTAACCTTAACTCTTTTCAGCCTCTCATGTGTTGTGGATTTCATCTGGAACTTTACTTACAGATTTTTAAAAATTGTGTTATATTGTGGCCCATTTTTATGTGAATTTTATCCTAGTAACTGCCATAATCTTCACAATAACTATAAAAATTTGGTTTTTTTATCAGTTTAATTTCTTTCTTTGTTTACCATCATCTCTTTTATTACATGGTTTCTTCTTGGTTGTATACATTTTTATTTTCAGTATCTTTGAGAAATACTTTCAGAAAGCATTAATGTAGTATGGTTTCTGAGTCCTTTAATATTAAAAAAAATGCCCTAATAGTGCCTTCAAATTTCACTTATGGTTTGCCTGGGCACATACATTTAGGTTAAAAATAATATTCTTTAAAACCACAGAAAAATTACTCCATTTTTCTTATTGCCCAAAAGTTCAAATGAGAAGTTTGGAGTAATTTGAATATTGTTTCTTTCAAGCTATCTTGTTTTCGTTTTACCCTTTAGAAACTTTTAGGGGTTTTCTCTATTTTACTGGAGATCAGACATTTCCCATGATAAGTCTAGGTATGGGCCTTTTCTTCCCCCTGCACACATATGCCCACGTTTTATTGGTTTCCCCTGCAAAGGACAATAGAATCATCTTAAACACATAAATCTAAGGTAATTTGAGAAGCCAATCAAAGACAAGGAAGGAAGATAAAAAATTCAATGCTCACATTATTTAAAAGGCACTACAGTGTCACTTAACATCTACTACTATGGTGGCAGTAGGCTGAGAAAGATTATGTTACAGCAAAAAACAACTAAATATTGGAGATTACACAGCAGAAAGTGAGTTTGCTTTCCAGAAGACTATGGCACACTAACCATTTGGGCCCAATAGAATATTTGGCAGGGAAGAGGTCCAGTGGGTGGAATTAAAGCAAAATTGAAGGAACAGATATAACAAAGAATCCAAGACACATAGTCTCCAAATAGATGACAATAGATTAGTCTCCCTCTCACAAGGATTTGTTGCACTTTGTTGCCTCCTATCATGATCCCGATGATTACTCCAGCTGAAAGCTGTCTACTCCTGCCCTTCAGAGGAATCAACCAGCAGATTCTGCAATTAAGCATAGAACTTGGAGAACTTGTGACACAGGGTAGGGGATGGAGGGTAGACTGGGTGGCTTTGCTGCTAGTTGTTCTGAAAAAGGAAAACTCTGAGGCATTCACAAGTAAGCCAATCACTTTCAAACACCTCTACAAACCACCCTTAAAATTCTGAAATCTTGCAGCAGGAGGGTTATGCTGGGCTCACAAAATCATCAAATAAGTCAAATGAAACAACCCAGGCAGGAGATCCTAGCAATTATTCTTCACCTGTCTTTCCCTACTTCAAGGTAAATGTTAATTTACCTGATGTGGGTTGTAGAAAGCTGTACTGGAGCAAGCTGCATCTTCTGCTGAACTTTTCATCAAATACCAAGGAAAAATAAAAGCAGAGTTTATTTTTATCTTATCTACTTTTATTTTTAAAATAGAATAACCTAGAAGTCATTCTGTCATAAAGGAACATGGCTGAACAGGTAAGAAACAGATTCCCCATTGTGAGTTCTCCTTATGGCTTCTGCGAGGATCATGGAGATGTCGATTACCCGAATTTTGGAGCAATGCTTCATCTTATCCTCTTGAGGTATGGTATTGGTGACTACTACCGCTTCAAAGCAAGCACTGTTGATGCGAGAAATGGCTGGGCCAGAGAAGATCCCATGAGTCAAGAATGCATACACTCTCGTGGCTCCGGCTGAGAGAAGTTTGTCAGCTGCGAGGCAGATTGTACCACAAGTGTCTGCCATGTCATCTACAAGGATAGCCACGCGATCCTTCACATCTCCTACCAGCACCATGCGGTCCACTTCGTTGGCCTTCTTCCGTTCTTTGTGAATCAAGGCAAAGTCCACATTCAACTGGTCTGCAATGGAGGTCACTCTCTTAGCTCCACCAGCGTCGGGAGAGACAATAGTGCAGTTCCTCCACTCAGAGATATTCTCCCTTATCCATTTCAGGACAGCTGGCTCTGCATACAAATTGTCTACGGGGATGTCAAAAAAGCCCTGAATTTGAGATGCATGCAGGTCCATGGTCATGATATGATCTGCGCCTGCTATCGACAGCATATTGGCAACGAGCTTGGCGGAGATCGGGGCCCGGCTTTTGTCCTTCTTATCCTGTCGGGCGTATGGAAAGCACGGGATGACTGCAGTCACCCGGCTGGCTGAAGCAATCTTGCAGGCATTAATCATGATCAAAAGCTCCATCAGACTGTCGTTGATTTCACCACAACCGCTCTGAACAATGTAGACATCCTCCCCACGCACACTCTCGCCAATTTCCACGCAGGTCTCCTGGTTGCTGAATTTCTTAGTCACCACCTTGCCCACCTCCAGGCCCAGGCGGTCGGCAATTTTCTGGGATAAGTCCTGGTGCGAGCTGCCGCTGAAGATTTTGATATTCGGCATCTTGGCCAACTACTCCCGAGGCACTCCTCGTCCGGCGACCGTTGCTACAGCTGAGATCGGAATGGAGGTGGAGCCGCAGACTCCAACGACTTCCGGTTGTTCTTCAGCCGTTGGGGTCCCTTCTGGCTTCCGGTTGTTCTTCAGCCGTTAGGATCCCTTCTGGCTTCCGGTTGTTCCTCAGCCTTTAGGGTTCCTTCAGGCGCGTGGTCCTACATTGATCCTGGGTCTTTTGAAAACGCTCCTGCTTGGCACTTCTCCCTTGAAAATCAAAGCTGGAATGGATAAAATAAATGTGGTATGCACACTGTGAAATATTATGCAGCCATGCAAAAGGACAGACAGAAGGATTTTTCAGAACGTTTGATGGTTATGTGTTAGGTCATTTTCAGTGATTTATCACAGAAACACAGAACAGAGTTCCATACATTCTCAGTCATGAGCTGAACCTGATCACTTATAGTGCTATAAGAAAGTGATTGGCCATAGTGGAAAACTGTTTAGGGGTAGGGGTGAGATTGGTAATGGATGGATACTGCTAAGGAAGGGAGGGGCATACCTCATCAAGCAGGGACACTGCATAATCAATGTTTGTAAATCTAACTCTCAATTGTACCCCACATTTTAAAAAAAATTAAAATACATAGTTAAGTAAATAAAAGACAAAAAAATAATTAAAAAAACCTAAACAAGCCGGTCTTTCCATTTCGTGAACTCCCCCCCCCCCCTTTAGTGCCTGTATTTGTTTCCTAGGGCTTCTTAAACAAATTTGAATGCATGAAAATATAAACAGGCAAAAACACATGTTTAAAAGAAAAATTACCAAATGGAGAAAGTACGTGCAAAGTATTATTTTAGATGGAATTCCTCCAATAATGTAATAAAAAGAATTAAAAAGTTGGAAAATGGTATACATAGGCAATTCAAGCAAAAAAAAAAAAACAATAAGTGGCTAAGAAACGTGGAAAATATTAATAATCAATAAAATACTAATTTTATTGTCACATATCATGTAGACCAAAAATTTAAGATAATATCATCTATTCTGATAGAATGTAAATATGTAGGTTTTGCACGGGTTATTTTTCATGTAAACTTGGACTCATCATGTATACTTCTATTAATCTATTGAAATTTTCACAAACGCTCCCAAAATATGTTGATACATAATAGTGTCTGTTGCTGTATTAACTAATGTAATACATATTTTATGAACACTTCTTGTATGTCGGATATTGTGCTACTTATAGGATATAAGATGGTGAATGACAGATGGTAACTTTCCTAGAAGTGTTTATAACAGCAAAATCTGGAAACCAACAAGTGTTCATCAATAGGTAAATTATCAAATAATGCAGCCATTAAAGAGATTGACTTAAGTGTCATCATATGGAGATGTCTCCAAGGTATTTTTTTTTTTGAGTTGGAGTCTCACTCGGTCGCCCAGACTGGAGTGCAGTGGCCGCTCCCGGCCACCACATACTTGACCTGCTGGGCTCCGCGATCCTTCCGCCTCAGCCTTCGGAGTAGCCAGAATTACAGGTGTGTGCTACCACGCCCAGCTGATTTTTTGATTTATTGTAGAGATGAGGTCTCGCTGCCCAGGCGGGTCTCGAACCCGAGGGCTCAGGCAATCCACTCACCTTAGCCTCCCAAAGGCGCGGGATTACAGGCTGAGCCACCGATCCCGGCTCCAAGGTATTTTTTAAAGGTAAAAATCTGGCACAAAAAATATGGATAATATTTATTTACAATTATATGATAATTGAAAATATCAAATCAGCATGGGACTCTTTTTTTAATGAATAGCTTTGGAGAGGGGACTAGGTTGTTGAGAGGTGAGGATGAAGGAAGACTTACATTTTACTGCCATCTATTAATGTGGTATTTGAACTTTCATTACTTTCCCAATTAAAAAAATGAACAAAATATAGTTGGTAGTTAAGTGTTTGTAAAGTTTCCACAATCAATTGAGGATTAAAGTAGTGAGGCAGGAAGTAGAGAGGACCATAGATAAGAAGAATTTCAACAATGAACTGTTTTATAAAAAATAATAGAGGCATCAGATTCAAATCATACAAATCCTGCTAATTGTGTGCCTGACATTTGTATACTGGGATATTTTCATTTAGCATAAAACTAGACATTATTGTTTTTCATATTTTAAAATAGCCAAATAATGATTTAATATATTTTCTTACCCAATTTCTGAGCTTCCCCAGTATGTTGGGTAAATAGGAGGAAGATCAGATTTGGGATAAGGAAAGGGGTAGGCAACAAATATGTTTGTGAAACATATTACTTGGCTAATAAAAAAGTGCTTTTATTCATTGAATGAGCTATTATTATAAACCACATAAATAGCTATTTAAAAAAATATTTCCTTAAAATGACTTGCTGATCCAATAATCTCTCACCTGACATCAACTTGTTTTTATTCTTAAATCTGACTCTTCATGGTTGGCAGTGCATGCCAGCTCATTTCTGTCCACAACCCATCATTCATGTTCTTTTTAATCAAAACAATCAACAGACCAACCCTATATCATATACTTCTCATCCTTAGCCAGACCACATATAGTGATTTCTAAAGAAAATCCTGTGACTTAATTTGGAATCACTAAAAAATACTGGTAATTTCAATTCAATGAATTTTTCTCTGTGTTCATAGTGTGTCACACATTTTTTAGTTTTAAAAACAAAACCGATTTTTAAATACACTTAATATTATCTAAATAGGACTGAATGCTACTATAAATATCTAAAACCCATAGTTGGATGCATTTTTCTTTAGGTGATAAGTAGGAGAAATTTTTGTCTTGCTGCTATCTTTCTTTCAAGTTCTAACTGTTGCTTTACCTCATAGTTCCAGGGATTTGTCTAGAATCATACAATTTTAAAAATGGAAATGACCTTAGAGACCACCCGGTCTAATATCACAGTTCACAGACACAGAATTATAAGGTCCAGAGAAATGAAGCAAACTGCCTAGGGTCTATCACCTAATTAGAGGCAGAGTGTGGATTAAAATGTAGGGTTCTGAATTTCCAACTGAGGCTTTATTTACTATATCACTTTTCAGCTTTTTCTTTGAAGTTTATCAGAATGAAGGAAAAAAAAGTACTGCAGAAATATTTGCATAGATTTTTTTCTCTTTTACCAAGCAACTACAATAAGAAACAAAATTCAAAGCTGAGACTGGAAAATTCTTTTACTTAAAAAAAAAATTCCAGAAAGAGATGAACCATTGGTAATGTCATGGAAAAAAGGTCTTTGTTATTCTGACATTTGTTACCTACCTGGATCAACTGTAAGAGGATTTAGTTTCTGTTTTCTTTGGTCTCTGTATGTTGAGAGGGACATCTGTTTTATTATTGACTGCTTCTGAAAAAGTTACAGGTGGAAATGATGTCTACTGAACAACACTTTCTCTCTATCAAGGATATTGTTTCTTTTTTTTTTTTTGGAGTCGGAATCTCACTCTGTCGCCCAGGCTGGAGTGCAGTGGTATACTCACGGCCACCACATCCTCGACATGCTGGACTCCTGCGATCTTTCCGCCTCAGCCTTCCAAGTAGCTGAAACTATAGGCATGCACCACCATGCCCAGCTAATTTTTTGATATATCAGAAAGACAAGGTCTCACCAAGTTACCCAGGCTAGTCTCAAAGCCCTGGGCTCAGGATATCCTTGCCTGGGCCTCCAAAAGTGCTGGGATTATAGGCGTGAGCCACTCTGCCCATCAGGATATTGTTTTTTTAATAAATTACTCTAGAAACAAAAATTGTGATTTAGAGAAAATGCCTTATCTTTCTCCTTCCCAAGACAAGAATATTTAAATGTCATCTCTACAGATCTGTGAGAATTGTTGCATTTTGAAGGTCTTTTGAGCCAATGCTCAGAATATATATATTGCCTTGGTAATAGTTTTTTGCTTTACTGATTATTCTTTTACCCTTCACAATTCCATTATAAATAATTCAAAGACAGCTCTGATGCAGCTTAATCGGCTAAGGAAAAAAGAAAGTCAGTTCTCTCAGAAAGTGAAGAAAAATGGTTGTTGTATTTTAAATGAAATAAATACTTTCACTAAACATACTCGCAGTTGACAAAATGCTAGATGTTTAGGTGGCAATTATAGTTTTTTGATAAACTGTCAAATCTTGTCACAACACATGTTACAAACAAGGACAGATTTGGATGTCCTTTATGACAGCTTTGTGTAGGTTGAGAATGTTTGGCAGTTAATTTCAAACGAGGAACATATTTTTCTTTCCAGCAGTTATCTGCTTGTTTATTAGAAAATTTCTTTGTGCCTTTAATCTTAACTCATTTGATTCACAGTTCCAGATCATTATTGGAACATTACCTTACCTCATTTATTTTGTTCATAATAATCATCCACAGTACTTTGAGAAAACAATTTCCCACAGAGCTTCACATTGCATGCAGGCTTTAAAGTTTGTTTTGTGATTGTTTACAATTAAAGTTGACTACTGTGTGTGTTTACTGAGTTTTTAGTAGGAAATCTGTCATTTTATACAATATATGTGTAGATAGCAATTAGGTAAATAAGGCTGAGTGCAGCAAATGAAATAGGAGAAATTTTTGTGATTTAGAAATGTGACCAATTCTGAGTGCTATGTTGGAGTCATGAGAGTATTTTTCAAATACATGTTGGAATTAAAACAAAACTTCCTGGTGAACTTAAAAAAATCTTAGTATAAAATAATAACCTTGGAATAACAATGAGGTTACATGAGCTGAACGGCATATCATTGTAATGACAGACAAAGCAATATATAGAGTTTCCATAACTTGTAAATTGCAAATAAGAAAATATCTTTTAATATTCATGTGAAATATTTTAAAGCACTTCAAAGCAATTTTTGATAATGACTCTTTCCTTTCTCATGTAGACTGTCGGTTTTATGAAATTAATTAAAATATGTTAATTATATTTTGACAAAATGCAAGCTCCATTTATGCTATTCAAATCTCTTTTAGAGATATTTTTTTCCTCTTCTAAAGTAACCATTTATCCAATTCCGATAGTAAACATTGAAACCAGTTATACATTTAC